ATATATATATATATATATTTTTTTTTTTCAAGTATTTATAGTATTTATAATATTTATATAAATATTTATAAAACTCTTTTCAACAGTTAATAAGAAATGTTTATTGAACACCAAATCGCCATATCAGAATGATTTCTGAGGGATCATGTGACACTGAAGACTGGAATAATGGCTGCTGAAAATTCAGCTTTGCCATCACAGGACATTTTAAATACATTAAAACTACCAGTTATTTTAAATTGTAATAATATCTCACAATATTAATGTTTTTACAGTATTATCAAATGAATGTATCCTTGGTGAGCAGAGACATCTTTCAAAAATGTTTTTAAAAAATCTTACCGACTCCAAACTTGCTAATCAGTCAGTGACATTGTATATGGACCGTCACCATCTGATACCATTACTGTACCACAGTACTTTTTTTTTGCAAGGCTCAGCTTTAACAATGAGACCTTATTCATCAGTTTATAGGCTAAAGTGAGACATGACATCATGTTTTACCATTTCAAAAACTGTTCAGACATGCCTTACGTTGAACATCTCTGACAATGTGTTGAAAAAGGAATGATATAAAAACGGTGCTCCAAGTTACTTTGTTCTGTTCAAGATATGATTTCTGACGTCAGCAACTAGATTGGGCTTGTAAGGCAAATGGGAAGCCACTGTGCGTGTGTATGTGGGAAGCTTTGGCATTTTCAGAAACAAGAAAGTTATTCATAGTAAGACAATGTTGCCAATTGGGTTGGTTCCACATGGAATACATGTGATTTTGGGCCCAAAGGAATTCTTCTCCCAAGACTGAAGGCAAGGAAGCAATGTGAAACATCCCTTTTTGAGTTTTGCAGCACTGTTGGTACAAACCTCTTTCCCTGGTATCTGAGAGCATTTTCCTTTGATCGAAATGTCAAGTAGGCTGTGGATTTGATTACTCGAGTGATTGCAATGCCTTGTCCAAATTCATTTGAAAATGTTTCATCTTCCTACATCAGATCGCTTCAATGTACCCTCCATACACCGTTAACTCTTTCTTTAACTTCCAACCACATTGTATTTCTCCCTAAGCAAACTCACAGTGTGGTAGAGAGTGGGCTTATGAAACTTATTTTTCGGTTGAAGTTCAAATGCCTGAACTTTTCTGATTATTGATTTATTTCCCCCTCTGCTTTCCTTTCATGATGTATTCCACCCTTACAGGGTCAAATGTGAAATCTGAGGGATGGATCAGTTTGGGAAATGATATAGCGCTTGGACTAAACAAACGTTTCATCTGATTCTCAAGCCTGCGATGAATCTGTGAAGCCCACACATCAGCGCAACACATGCATAACCAGCACAGCTTTGTGACATTACTTCAGAAGGTGCGTCGCACACATGCACATACGCATAAACACATGCCAGAACAAACACTGGAACACATATGCATACACACGCACACATCAACATCCATGGAGACGTTTGCTTGGCTGCAGAGTTGGCAGATAATTTTCTAAAGGAGTATTTGAGTCATTCTTGCTGAAGATTTGGCTTGTTAAAAGTCTGCCAGATTAATTTTTTTCAAAGGTCAGGGAGTAACACGATGTCTTTTAAAACAGCATGGTGACAAGTAATTCTTTCCTAAATAACTTCATAAAAGATTTCTAGAATTCTGATTATGTCAGTGTGCTACTATTGAGAGATGCAGTGAACAATAATTCCACTATTCTTGTACTGTATTTAATTTTGTACAAACACCCACTGGGAGTATGGTGAGGACAAACACTTAGAAAACACTGAGATTTAGCCTATTTTTAATAATTTGTTTAGTTTTAAATTTAAATTTAGCTTTAATAGCTAATTCATTCTCTTTCAAGATAACCTGTCAAATGGTTTTACAAAAATTCAAGGAACACTGGCATCAAAACATAGTGAGCTTTTGGGTTGTCTTTCAGACAATTGCTTGATTGTGGGGTTTTTGATCCCAAGATAAAAGGTGCTAAATATATTCCACTTACATAATACGATGTGCCAGTAATATTCGTAATTCGTTTCCTGGGAGTTTGCCTCAAAAGCTTCTTTTAATTGTAAGATGGAAGTAGTTTATTTGAGATGTAATGCTACACGTATGTGTCACTCCTTTGACTTGTTCCCAAATAATAGTGTAATGTTTCCTCCTCCTATTATCCATCTGATGACTATCCAGATTCTAGAAAGTTGACATCATAGTTGTTTATCATATGCTTAAGTAACTTTACATAGGCTTTTTGATGATGGGCCTTGCCCTCTTTGTCACTCTGTACACGGTCTGATTGTGTTACTTAAAGCAACTGAACAAGCTATCTGCAATATTAAATACTACTGCAAATTGAAAATTGTGAATACATAATAAATTAAAACAATGGAAACAATGAAACAATGGACAATAGTCTTCATGTACTTTTCAATTAGCTACATAAAAATTCAGAATACAAGTTGATAGCCAGCAGTTAATTGAATTCACTTCCTTTATGTGTGTGTGTGTGTGTGTGTACATCTTCAGAGAGATTATTAAAGTTAGTAAAGTAATTAAGACAAGCAGTGAGTTATTTACGTTACCTTGTCGACAGTCGTCTGCATCTCAATTGTAAGACCTGCAGGGATGTATTTTACATTAGAATTATGTCCCGTCTTTTTACATTCACTAATTAATATCACACTGTAAGCATTCTGAACAAAAGCACTTACAATTCCCCTAATAGTATGTTCCTAACAGCAAGACAGCAAGCACAAAAACTATTTATTACAGAGCGCGCGGTTGCACGCAAAAGTAAACCGCTTGTGTGTCATTCAAACTAAATTCGGAATAGCATACAATTCGTACTATTTCTGCTTTATATGTGCCATATTTTGTGTACTGAATTGAGTCAATACACGCTACTAAAGACAAACTGCTATCGTTTCAGTTTTACAAATTCAGTATTGCTTTGTTAGCTAAATAAATTCCACAACATCTTGGTGTTGCTTTGTACACCTTGACCCTGCGTGTATGTTGACATGGTTACTTATGAGTCATGAGTTATTTTTCATTTTGCACTTAGTTTTATAAATAATAAAAAAACGGGTTTACCTCAAAAGTCCCAGCAGTCAGAACCCATGCTTATTTTCTGACTAAGTGAAGTCAATGTGACGCTGATTTTAGTGGTGTATAATGTATTTGTTCAAGTATTGGATGCCTACATGTGCCACTCAACTTGACCACACCCACTTGAGTACCAACCCTCCTCTCCTAAAAGCTTATTTATTCAGCTTTCAGATGATGTATAAATCTCAATTTCCAAAAATATACCCTTATGACTGGTTTTGTGGTCCAGGGTCACATATGATAATCACATATGGTAATGCACATATATTGATGTGTGTGTGTGTATATATACACACACACACACACACACACACACATATTCAGTATATTTAGAAAAAAGAAAAAATTCTGTTGTTAGAATTTTGGGATTTTATTCATTAAATAAATAAATAAGGAATTATGTACACAATAAATATTTGGTAAGGACAGAGGAAAAAAACAAGAAACAAACAATAATTATGTTTGCAGATTAGGACATGCATGTGCGATCCATCAACATTTTACCACACATACACACAAGAAGTCTGTTTCTTGTCAAACGATGCCTGGTCCCAGCCCAGATTTTCTTTCCTCTCTATAATGTTTTTGATCACATCATTCCTCTTCACTCCAGTCTCTGAATTTCAGCATTTGTAAATGTACAGAGTCTGTCTTGGGTATAAACATTTCCATAGCTCCATCCGGTTCACATCCAGTGGACATCCTGTTCAACAAGCCCTCCTCTGTGCCCTTGCAACGAAAGAAGTCATCAGATCTTGCTGAGTCAGTGGCCAACTGTTCTCCTCATCTGTCAGTCTCAGTTGCATCTCTGCAGCAGCATGTTCAAGGCATACTCCAGACGTCTCCGCAGGTCCGCAGTGCAGCCCGCGCTGAGCAGCGTGCTCAGTTGGAAGGTGGTGGAGGTTCGCTCTTCGTTGATGTATGTCAGCAGATATTCGTCCTGCTGTGTGCACAGGATGAGCTTGGTGTGGTCATGGTAGAAGTTCACCTGTTGGAAGATGAAGAAAAAGGTTTTGTTATTCTAGAACAGACGTGAAACACTCTCAGAGGATGCAGGATGTTATTACAGCAGGGTTTGTGACCTTCTTCTTCCCACAGTGCTATAGTATACACAGCTTTTTATCTGAACAAAGACAGACCTGACTGATAACTACCCAGGGGTCTGATGGGCGTAGAGAGCACTAGACAGTAGCTTTTTACATGAGGAATAGTTCTACCAACTGCTGCATTAAAGGAACAGTTCTCACAAAAATGAAAATTCTGTAATTTCTGTCTTTCATAGACCAAAAAAAGATGTCTTTTCCATACAATGACAGTGAATGGTTACCATTGAGTCTGCCAAGCTCCAACAATGACAAAAAACCTAAATGTTATGATGCTTTTTGTCTCTTTTCACAAGTCCCTTTCATTTTATGGAAATCGCCAACATAAACATCTATCTTAACATCTCAGTTTATACTTCAGAGATGACAGTAAGTGATACATGTTCTGAGATGACAGAATGTTTGGTGAACTATCAGTTTAAGAGCTGCTTTGTAATGAATAAAGAATTTACCTGGAATGTGCCATCGTTGAAAAGCATCAATAAAGCTCTGTCTGATTTCAGCCACTGCAGAAGATATATTCTGGTCTTCTGGGTATCTTGTTCACTTATCATATCCCCTCCCTGCATGAAAAACAAGGATAAACAATATATTAACACAACAACGTCTTGTACAACCTGAAGTCTAGACCAGAATATTAAGTCTTTGACTTCTAGACCTGTAACAATTTTAAAACTGAATACAAACATAAGGGTTGAAACTAAGAGCACACTCACATCCATCAAATTCTCCTCCATGTAGTGGGCAAAGTACTTGAGGATGGTGACCTGGGCCACAGCATACTCAGGAACCTCAATAACAGAGAAAACAGACCTCTGGCTGAGGTCAGCATACTGGTGAACAGTCCTATAAAAAACAAAGACAACATCGATTTATCAACTACACAGTCAATGCAACACAGTGTTCACGGTTTGTTTCTGCAGCCTTACATATATATGAGGTATATGACTAATGCTTGCTCTTTTATAATATTTCATGTGTAATGCCATTTGTCATTCAACTGACATTTCTAGGTTATTGGTGCATTTTTTCTTTCTTTCTGAAGATCATCTAGAAGCTACGCTAGAAAACTAGGGATGGGAATCATAAGGAATAATGTTGGGCATATTGTACATATGTACACTACAGTTCAAATGTCAGTCAGATTTTTAAAAACATATCTTATTCTCATCAAGGCTACATTTATTTGATCAAAAATACAGTAAAAAAACGATGATATTGTGAAATATTGTAATATATTTAAAAATGTAATTTATTCCTATGATGGCAAAGCTGAATTTTCATCAGCCATTATAACAACCTTTCATTTTGAAAACAGTTGCTTAATTTTTTTCTGAAGTCTGATTTTTTTTTTCAGGATTCTTTGATGAATAGATAAATATGAGTCTTCATTGCCACTTTTGATCAGTTTAGTGCATTAAAAGATTATTTGCATTTCTAAAAGGTTTAATTTCTTTAAAAACAATCTTACTGACCCCAAACTTTTGAATGGTAGTGCATCTCGGATGATATTGGATATTTCGTTGTGGATACCAATTTCTCATATTTTTCATTTAGACTACATTTGTCATTTACTCATTTACAATTAGTCCTTAAAACACTAATAATTTAATAAGTTACTATTATATGTAATCTTTAAAAATGGTCAAAATTTTCACACTGAACATTATAATGTTGTAATGTCTAAATTCACTAGTAGCATTTATTTTTAATTCACTCTGATAAAATATAGTACATAATTTAAAAATGTATAAAAAGTAAAATATAAAACCAATTATAGGCCAGAATTTGAATACTGGTACTAATTTCATGATTAGCAACTGCTTAATGAATATGTGTTGCGTAACGTTTGCCTACTTCAAAAAAGAATCAAATTGGAATTACATATAAACATTTGTTTGGGGTTAAACTTTTGATACATTTTTTAAAAAGAGCGGAACTGAGTTAGCAAACAGTCAACTTGAAGCACCTACTTCTTGTCAGAGAGGAGACTCATGTGCGTTCCGTTGTTGAAAAGGACGCCCACTGTATTGTCAGACAGCTGATAGCCAAAGCCATATTTGTTGGAGTAGTCAACCCACTTAGTCACCCACTTCAAGCTATTACAACCATTTCCTCTGGGAAGGCTGTCCGCTGTGGGAAAAAGGGCACTGTTAAATGCAAAGATCGTATAGTTTCTTTACTCTATAGAATGGATTCGGTATAGAAAACCCTGGGTGTGAAGTGTAAAGTGTAATAGGTCTTATTCACCTTTAGGCATGTGTTCAAGACAGCCTCTCAGAACACTAATAACAGCCTCTGCCACAGTGCCAGTGGTGCTGTCTTCAAGACCTACGGAGAGACAGCGGGATACATTGCGTCAGCTTGTGAAACTAATGAGCTGGAGTCAGATCGAACAGGTGAAACACACACACACACACGTATAACACACACTTACATTCACTGCTGCTGCCCAAGCTGCCTCTAACAATCAAGTGAATGGTATCTCTTGTCTGTGGCCTTCCGGCAGTTGCCTGGGTAACAGGCTTTCTTGTAGGTGCTGACGGATTTCCTCCTTCCTAAAGAGGAAAAATCGCAGCATATGTGTGTCATGAATGACCTAACACTTAACCTTCATTAATAGCTCAGAGTTGGCGATGAATTCCTTATTATAGCCTACTATAAAGGGAACAATGCTCACCTCGGATGAGTGTGTAGTAATCTGATTACTGATGGCAGTCTTTCTGAAATCTTGACGGAGCTTGAATATGTCTTCCTCTTCTTTGGCTAAGCGATCTGTCGGAAGAAAAACAGTTATTCATGGGGTCATCTGAAATGAGTAGTGCACTAGTTCACTAAAGCGAGAACTTACTTATATTTTCATAGTACTTGGCTTTGTCCTTCTTGCCACCGAAGAGAGCAGCAGCTGCCTTTTTGAAGAAGCTCTTGGCTGGACTGGAAATGTGGAAGTCTGGGGCAGAATGGCAGCAGCTGACAGGCAGAGTTTCTGGCATGAAGCCCTGCGGCGAAATCATGACACAAACATTGACGAAAAGTCCAACTGCTTGGCTGGATATACTGAATCTACTGCGGTGCAACAAATAAACTTACCTGGGTGAAAAATTCATGCCGAATGATGTCATCCAGGTGCGGGCGGTCCACAGGGTTCTGTGCGAGCATGCCGGAAATGAGCTGTTTGGCGGGGAGAGAGAGCGAGGCCGGGATGGTGTAACGGGCCTCTCGGATACAGCGGTATGTCTCCTTCAGGTTAGTGGTCTCGAATGGAGGTTTACCCAGAAGCATGGTGTACCTGAAGAGAAAGATGTGAAATGTGTCATTAATAAGTGTCTGGCTCTTAAAGGAATAGTTCCACCAAAAACAAAATAGTAGTTTACTCAATCTCATGTTCTTTGTCCATTTTTTTTAGGAATGTTCAGGCTATCCTTTTTAATATAATGAACATGAATGTAGACTGGTGTCTGCAGACTGCTGTCAAGTTTCAATAAGAATGCAAAAAAGAATCATCAAATTATCTTAAAAGTAATTAAGTATTAAGTATTAACTAAGTTCATTATTTAATAGCTCACAATTGAGTGAACAACAATGTAAAACACAACTTGAAATATAGTGCAAGACCACTTTTATGGAGCTTTTTTAGAGCTTGACAGACAGCATTACATTGATTAATTTGACAAGAGCAACCAGCACGTTCTTCAAAAACTAATTTTGTTTGTGTTCATTGGATGAAAGAAGGTCATTTAGGTTAGAAATGACATGAGTTTGAGTAAATGATCCCAAAATAGGTCATCACTGGTGACAAACTGTAAACCACATGCTGCTAATATGTCATTCAAGCATTAGAGCTGAAGCATAATCACCGAATACAATGGCATTCACAACTAGAATGGAAAAGTAGACATTCATTGATAGAGTGAGTATGAATCGGCAATCATTGCCTATTCACACAGAGCAATTTATAAATATAGCGTATAGAGGAAACCCTCAAATCTGAGTGTGACAAACTTACATGACGCAGCCCAAAGCCCACACGTCAGACTCCCAGCCGTGGCCCTGTTTGTTCAGCACTTCCGGGGACAGGTAGTTGGGTGTACCGCAGATCGTTTTGCGTCTGTTGCTGACTGGCTCCAGTTTGGCAGCCAGCCCAAAATCTCCCACTTTCAGCTCCATTGAGTCATTCACAAACAGGTTGCCTTTGAATGATAAAACGGAAGATTTTTAACTACATATAAACTGATGGAATGTTAATAAACATCATGCACGTACAGTGAGTATATGCATACATACCTAGTTTCAAATCACGATGCAGGATCTCTAAATCGTGAAGGTATTTTAAAGCGGACACTGTCTGTTTCAAGTAATACCTCACTTCAGGTTCTGTTAGGACTTTACGTGCCTTCAGTATATGGGCCAGTGACTAAAAAAGATTACCAGGAGTCAGTCAGGGGGCACACAGTCATTTGCATTACATATTACACATTAATACACTTAGACTTTTAAACTTACTCTTCTACTGCAGTACTCCAACAGAATATAGATGTTGTCTTTGTCTTCAAAGTGGTGGTAGAAATGCACTATGTGTTTGTGGCTGAGAGCTCTGTGCAGGTCAATCTCTCGGTTTATCTGAAACAACAGAATACAGAACATAAGTGTGAGGTTTTGATCAATCTTTTGTGCAGTGCAATTTATATAGCCTACACCATGTGTCTATCCTACCTTCTCTCTCTGGTGCGGTTTTGACACACGTGAATGCGGGATGATTTTGGCTGCATAGACTTTACTTGAAGACAGGTCGGTCATTTCATAGCACTTTGCAAAGCCTCCCTATGACATAGAGAAAGTATAAGATAAGTATAATGTTAACCAGGATAAAGAGATTTTCAAGAAGCAATGTAATCATAACCAATGCATACATAGACAAACAGATAGACACATTAGACAAAAGTAATGCAATCATGCACAAACACAATGAATAGCAATACTTTTTCTAATAGAATAATAATTTTCACATCAAATAATAAAATACATTTTAATAAATAAAATATTTTAAACAATATCAGCATTAACATGGAGTCCATTACCTTTCCTAGAACTTTTCCCCGGCAGTAACATTTCCCAGTATTGGGGTCTGTAATAATTCTGGAATATTCTGTTCCGGTCCGACTGTTATCCTCTGGCTTTTTCCATCCTTGCTCACTTATTTTATTGAGCTCACACATCTTTTCGTTGTGTGTCGTTATAGTTGGGTAAGAGGTATTTCTCAGTGTCTCCATGGCTCTGTGTGTTACTGTGTGTGCTGTCACAGTGCTGCTGGACCGGTGTGTCTCCTCGCTTTTATACCGCAGCGCCGCGCGCCTCTGCTCTAGACGAACTGCGTCACGAGACGGGAAGACCCTATATGGCGTGTGAGATCTGGCGTATTAGCTCTGTCATCTGTGAACTACCTCACTGTATCCATTATTAAACATCCTAGACACTTCATAGACACCTACTAGGCAACGATTATCGCATAAAATCAGGTCTATCTGAGCAATGGTCCATATCCACAGGGCAATCTCTCGCATAGTGATGAACACATCTTGTATGTCGGTCAAAGGCAGGCTAATATATCTACAACATTTGAGAAATAAGCGAGATATTGCCAGTTTACTGATGTTGCCAATTTATCGTGGTTCAATAGGCTAAATGAACGATGGTAAAGACATTTGTACGTTTGAAACCGTCTGATTCACAGAAGAGTGTCAGAGCATCACCATGTGGCCAAAGTGACACACAACATCTTGCATGTTCCATTTTTAAAGCATTATTATACGTTTTAAAAATATATATATAATAACTACTAAACATGCTAGATGAACTATTACCTAAAATAAAATTCAAATAGCATAGCTTAAAACATTTCAAATATCAGTATTCCCCCTTTAAATGGGTATTTTGGCCTGTCCAACATCAGGTCTTGAGCTTCTCGACTATGTAATAATTAAAATCATACAAGAATGTTATAATTTTGATGTTAATTTTCGTTAAGATCAAAGTAGCTTTAAGTACTATTATTTAATTTTACTTATCAAAACATATTTAGCTGCATATTTTGTGTGCAATAACCTTTTACTTAAAAGTGTAATATCGTTTAAAAATGTCAAATGTGACACCCAAGTAATAACGAGAGCATAACAGGAAAACAAGAAAAATTTCATTCTTTTTCCTTAATGTGTATAAAGATTTTGTTTTGACTGCATTCATTAAGCTCAACCATTCAACCCTGTTACCCACACATAAAAAAATACTGTATATAATATATATATATATATATATTTATTACAATAAAATGAAATTAATTTAAAAAATAAAATATTTTCTTAATTTGTGGGAGGTATAATGCAAGCCTGACCCACATGTAATAGAGAGCCATGTTATCTTCATAATTTTTTGGGCTTTGCTATTCTAGGAGATATTAAAAGACCAAGGTCATGAGCAGTTTGTTGGCAGCAGAGTAATTTTGGCTCTTTATTTCACAGTTTAGTTTAGAATTTCACAACACAGACAAACAACATGTCATCAAACCTACCTGCAGTAACAGAAAAGGAGAAATTAAAAATAAGTAATTATTCTATGCTTTATCATGCGTGCATATGTCTTCTAAAAGTGACTGGTACCTTTCAGGCAGTGCTAAAACCCAAAACAGAAAGCTTTTTGACACAAGGGAAGATACTTTTTCATCTCATGGTAGCTTGTGTTGAAAGCTTCCGTATAGCATTCATATCATATGCCCAAGTCTGGTCTAGTCCTTCACCCTCAGTGGCTGTGGGAGTCCAGTCAGGAAATGGGAAGCGACAGGCAATCACACGAGCCTCATCTGGTAACTCCTTCTCCAGTTTCCTACCCAACACCTCCATCTGTAGACCACAAAGCACATTGTATTAACCAAGGTAATTATTGGCAAGACAGACAGGTATTTTCTGCATTGGTGTTTTGCATTAAGAAGCATGACTTCTTGTACAACATATAGTTTAAAATTACGTAAATTCTCCACAGTAGCCTAGCCTAATATATTCTTCAGAGTAAATCATAGCACTATTAAGAATATATCTAGATGATGTAATTTGTTGCACTGATTTCTAAAGATACTATCTTAATACTCAGCTCAGTCTAAATGGAGAAAGGACATCTGTGCATACTTACCACTCCGGGTGCCAAGAAAACAGTCACATTGTTATATTTGGACAAATCGGTCTGTGGAAGGAAGTGATAAAAACTGAATCATCAACACTTGGACATGTGAAATTAAATCAGAAATAAAATATGCACGTGGTATATGTGTAATTTTTCAATAGGTGTTTTTCCACACAGCTGTAGAACTAGTACAGGTGTTGTGCTGAAACTGTTGACCTACAGCAGTGCTTCTCAACCGTTTTGATGCAAAGGACCAAATATTACCAGTATGTATGTATAAATGTATTGTATAACAAATATTATAATATTGTATGTGTAGTTTAATAATTATTATAATTGAATTATTAAATACAAATTAAATGCAATTAGCATAATATTTTAAGGATGAATAAAAAGGTAAATGAGGAATACAAATAAACGCTGAAGTAAATAAATACTTTTTAAAAAACACACAGTTTACTGCTAAAAATAATTCTATAACAGAAAACACATAACATTAAGCGCCCAAGCTGACATGGTTACTGACTGATATGATCATCAACTATATTATTAACAGAAATTTGCAGTGTTGATATAGGTACAATAAACTGACGAACGATGAATAAAAACAACAGATATTATTGAGGCAATTGTTTGTGTGAAATCCCACCTGGTGCTTGTGCACATTGCTTTAATGCCCCCTTTAATGTTTGTTTTAGTATCCCTACATGCCAACATTTACCTAACCAATGGAATTAGTTGGGGGCGGAGCTATTTATTTTACTGGCCAATGGAAGAGAAGCTGAAAATCTGTCTGAAAACCATTATTTTTATAATTCTAATGAGTGCCGCCTGTGGCACAGGAATTACACACTTCACCTTTAACACCTTTACCTTACCTTCCAAAAGTCCTGGTTTATAAAAGTTGCAGTGCTGGATGGTATTCCCTTCCACTTTGCTTTGACTCTGGCATATCCAGTTAGGATAGAATTAATTTCAAAGCCAGTGCACTGGAAACCCTCTACAGTGGCAGTAAATACCTACAAAATACATCCAGGCCAAACCTATTTGAGAACCAGGGTCTGTGATATTTATGTCAGTTATAACTGGACATAAAGCAGACTGCCTGTGGCTCATATTGTTTGCTTTCCATGTATAAAAGTAACCAAGAAGAATATTTTTAACTGTAAGACCAATGATTCTTTCTATTATATATGTGTACAGAGGAAAAAGATTTTTCCATCCAAATTTGAGAGTTAATGAGATCTATTTTTGAACACAAAAGAGGCAGCCCCAGGTAGGCTGCCCAGTGGCCATTATCTTGGTGAGAAATGACTGTATAAATAACCCACAGATTAGTCATTTCATTTTAGAAAGCCAAGCCCCAAGAGCTTAAAAATGAACAACATCTAACAGCGAAGTCATGCAAAATTATAAATAGCCTGTTTGCCAATATTTTTCTTTTGTTTTACATTTCCCATATATTATCTCCCACTCAGCTGCTAAGCATCACACCATGTATTGTGGTGAGAAAGTAGTCATCTGCAGAAAGCCATCAGAAGCATCTGAAACAGAAAGTGCTTAGAAGCACAAAACTTCATCTGTAAATCTGTTATATCACTTAGAGATTTACATGATTAAAAAATGTTAAATACTATATACATTATTAGGATTTTTGTTAGGTGCAGAGCCGGACAGAAACTAAGTACATACTTGAGTATTGTACTTAAGTACACTTTTTGAGTATCTGTACTTTACTTGAGTATTATTTTTTCTGGGAACTTATGACTTTAACTTCACTACATCTGAAAGACAAATGTTGTACTTTTCACTCCACTACATTTCTATCAAGGTCCTCGAAGTAGAAAGTCGTTACTCTGTAGCAGCTTTGAAAGTCAGTGGGTGATTTTTGGGTGAAGTATTACGTACAACAATAAAACAGTGCATTGACATAAAAAAGGAAATTTACTTTTGGTACTTAAGTACTTTTAAAAGCAAGTACTTCTGTACTTTTACTTAAGTAAAAATCTGTCTTTACAACTTTTACTTGTAATGGAGTGATATTTGACCAGCAGTATCTGTACTTTCACTCAAGTAATGGAGTTGAGTACTTTGTCCGCCTCTGGTTAGATGTCCATATTAGGCTTAGGATTAAAATATATGCATTGGTATTATGCAGAATGATTGGTAGTAAGCACAGTATTTGGAAATACATGTCATATATTCAGTTCCTTATCATTTAACATTGTCAGTGTTAAAGACTCACCAGTCGCCCATCACCAGATCCCAGATCTGCCAGACACCCTGCTCTCCCATGCAGGAGTTTCATTACATTCTGTGTCTGTGTTCTACTGGAGGGCAAATAAGGCACCTGGGCAATATTAATTTCACTTACATCAGTGATTAATTGATTGATTGATTTTCTCTCTGTAGGACTATAAATCTAAACATGGTAAAGTGCAGATCATTGCCATTTAAAGGGATCACCAGGGTATTGAACGAATAGCTGAGCAAAGCTATAAATAGCTGCCAATATATCGTATATGACTTTCAGTACCTTGAGACATATGGGCACTTTCCGAAAACCAGGAAGTGCAAATAATGACCAGAGGCCATAAACTCCCACAAGCAAAGCGCCAGATGCTGCTGTGACAAGTGGCTTTTCCTGAGTATGATCGGAGAGCTTGCAACTTTTATGCTGAAGGATGACCTCCACTGAATCCTCCATAACACTAGAGGGAAAAAGCAAACAGTGTAATGTACATGACTCATGTGAAAAATAAATCTGATCAATGCTGACATGCACGTCATAAGTCACATTTTATATGAAATGTCTTCCCCTCCACATGCATGCAGGTCATAGCTCAAGAACTACAAAGTACTTTGTAGAGTTCTTCAGCCACTAGAGAGCGCTACCAATCCACAGTGAAAACAACATTTAAAGCAGCACTATGTCACTTTTGGCGCTCTAGCGGTTAATAAACAGAACTGCACACATCCGCGGAAGAACATTCCAACCGGAGCTACTTCTCTAAGTTTATGTCTATGGCGATTCACGCAGGTATGTGTTACTCCGCAGCGGTGACGACCCGACCAGGCTACAATAGCCCCAATATAAGTACTTATTATAAGTGTACCGTAGTGATTCGGAATAAGACAAAAAACGCGGTTTGGAAGATGAATTCATGATGTACTCACTCATTGTATACATTTCGCAAATTTTGAACACAGAAAAAGTTACATAGTTCTGCTTTAAAACGTTTGTTTACCAGAAGAGATTATTATATAGCACAGTCATGAACAGAGTATGTAGGCGTATGTAATATGTTTTACCACCTGAACGCGTATGTCAGAGATTCAATTTACTTTAAAAGCCTTGTCCACAAAAGCGCGAATGCGTTTACTTCAAGTTTACAGGACAAACAACCAACCCCTGCACAAATTACCAACAACAAATTAAACAACTAAAAATCGGTTTACCTTTTGCATGCCAGTGCATTTACTGTGTGTTTTTAGTACGAGGAATACGTGACATTCCTGTAAACAACACATGCGCATGCGAGAGTGGGATGGGCACTAGTTCTACTATGGCGAAGGCCTAGCTCA